CTCCCCAGCGACCCCTCATAAATTGAAGCCAAACGGGGCTGGGAACCCCTGGAAGACCAGACGGCAGCTGAGCCATGGCTCCGTTCCAGGGTCAGTAATCGCAGGAGAGACTCAGGACGGGAGACAGGCTGGCAGGGCAGAGGGGAAGCGGGGGCTGGTGTGCGGGTCTGTCCTGACACATATTCCTGCTCAGAGGAAGCTCAAGATTAGCCGATCTGAGAAGCAAAGTAGAGGAAGAGATAGCCATCTGAAGGGAGATATTTAGAAGTGGGTAGTGATTTTCCTCCAAAGGGGAGGGGCCAGGGCGAGAGAAAAGAATTGGTGGATTAAGGGAACAGGCTTAGAGTCAGACAGAGGGATAGCAGTTAAAGCAAGGAGCAGAGTCAGGGATTTGCTGGCAATCGAGAAAGTAGGATTTGAAGTGGGAGATCACGGGCTACAGAATTTGCCTCTGGACCCACGGCCTTCTTGCCTGGACTATCGACTGTTCTATTCCCCATCCCTGCCCTGCTTTTGCAGTGTGGACGAACCACTCGTGATGACGGTGTACTAGAGTGGAACGTGTCATGTAACTGACTACCGGGCCATTATATTGATCATGTGCAAAATAAATAAATAAATAAATAAATTTGACCACAGGAAGATCATGGGGAGGGAAAGCAATGACCGACTGGCCCCCCAAGAATCTCAGGAACAACTTTCTTTTCATGGACCCTTTCTTTTGGTCAAAGGGCGACTAGCAAAGGAGTGCCTGGCTGGCTCAATCAGTAGAGCACATGACTCTTAACTTCAGGGTCGTGAGTTGAGTTCAAGTGCCAAGTTGGACCTGGAGCTTACTTAAAAAAACAAATCAGGGGCCCCAGGGTGGTTCAGGGTTAAGTGTCTGACCCTTGATTTCGGCTCAGGTCATGATCTCACAGTTTGTGGATTCAAGCCCTGTGTTTGCCTCCATGTTGACAGCACTGAGCCTACTTGGGACTCTCTCCCTCTCTTTCTGCCCCTTCTCTGCTCATGCTCTCTCTCTCTCTCTCAAAATAAATAAATGAACTTAAAACAAAACAAAAGGGGAACTAGCAGAAATTCCAGAGTTTCAGGAACGCTTTTGTCAATGTCCTTCCAGATTTTTATGATTATTATTATTATTAAAAACATTTTTTAAATGTTTATTCATTTTTTGAGAGAGAGACACAGAGTGTGGGGGGGGAGGGGTAGAGAGAGAGGGAGACACAGAATCTAAAGCAAGCTCCAGGCTCTGAGCTGTCAGCACAGAGCCCGATGCAGGGCTCGAACCCATGAACGATCAGACCGTGACCTGAGCCAATGTTGGGTGCTTAACTGACTGAGCCACCCAGGTGCCCCAAGATTTTATTTTTAAGTAATCTCTACACCCAACATGGGGCTCGAACTCCTGACTCTGAGATTAAGAGTTGTGTGCTCTTCTGACTGAGCCAGCCAGGCACTCCTCTTCCAGATTTTTAAATTGAAATGTGTATATATGTATATATATGTGTGTACACACACATACACAAACATATATATACATGTACTCTATATCTTTTACAAAAATTGGACCATATTAGTTTACAATGTACTTTTATTTATTTTAAAAAAATTTTTTACAGTTATTTAATTTTGAGAGACAGAGTGAGACAGAGTGCAAGCAGGGGAGGGGGAGAGAGAAGGAGACACAGAATCTGAAACAGGCTCCAGGCTCTGAGCAAGCATTCAGCACAGAGCCTGACGCGGGGCTTGAACCCACGAACTGTGATATCATGACCTGAGCTGAAGTCTGACACTTAACCGACTGAGCCATCCAGGCGCCCCCACAATGTACTTTTAAAAAATGTCTTAATAATTTTTGTTTTACTGTAAATTATTATTTTCTTATTTCCCCCTATCTTTTTATTAGAAAAATTTATCAGAGTTGAAAGGACAGTTCAGTGTGCATCTATGTGCTTTTCACCTAGATTCGGTAATTGTTAGCATATTGGCATATTTTGGCCAGCATGCCACAATATTCCGTCCTGTGGAAATCGCAGAGCCTGATGGTTGAACGTGGAGTCCGTTGCCCTGGGTCCCAAAGCCGGTTCCACTGTTTTCTAGCAGTGTGGCTTGACCTTGGACATGATCTTTAACATCTCTAAGCCTGTTTCCTCAACTACGAAATCGGAATGACACTTCAGAAATTTCAGAGGATCCAATGAGATAATGTTTGGCACATAAGCAATTCTCAGTAAATATTGTTTGGGTACTTGTTTTGATCTCTTCACTCAGCCTGGAAGTTGGGGACAATATCTGAATTGGTTTCATTTTAAATCACGTTAAGTCCATTAACCTCAAGTGGGCCCTTAGTGCTGCCTGGTGACCCTACCACATCTCACCATTCACTCTCTTAACTTTCTTATACGATTATGTCACTCATTCTCCTTTCTCCTCAAACCTTTAATACTTCCTGGCCCCCCTCTTCCTCTTCCTCACTCCTAGCTGACAATTGTGCCTCTCGTTTAACTGAGAAAATAGAAGCAATCAGAAGAGAACTTTCATACAGTTTCATTACATGTACCATCTTGCTTGCACCCATGCCCATATTCTTTGCCTTCATTCCTGTATTAGGATGGACCCTCTACATCTCTGAGGCCAACCCCTCTACCTGTGTACTAGATCCGTTTCCTTTTGCCTGTTCAAAGCACCACTCTAGGGGCGCCTGGGTGGCTTAGTTGGTTAAGCGTCCGACTTTCGCTTAGGTCATGATCTCGTGGTTCGTAGGTTCAAGCCCCGGGTCGGGCTCTGTGCTGACTGCCCGCTCAGAGCCTGGAGCCTGTTTCAGAGTCTGTCACTCCCTCTCTCTCTGACCCTCCCCTGCTCAAGCTGTCTCTCTCTCTCCTAGAAATAAAAAACAAAGCACCACTCTAGTGACTAGCCCTCTTCTGCATTATCAAATTTTCCTTCTCAACTAACTCATCCCCATCTTACCGAAACACTCTCCCATCCACATTCTTCCCCACCTTCTGTCAAATTTCTCTGCTGCTCTTAAAGCAGAGGTCTTTGAAAGAACTATCTTTACACACACATCCATCAAAAAGTCCCATTTATCCTACCATGAAAATTGTCTCAAGTCTGAATACTTCCCATCACCTCCATGATCTGGCTTATACCACTCACTGGCTTGTCATCCTCATAATTCTTTGCCCTGGTTTTCTCTTGCCTTTCTATAGCGTCTGTTCTCCGAGCAGCAAAGTGATTCTTTAAAAACATATCAGACCATGTTTCCCTCTGCCCCAAACTTTGTAATGCCTTTCCATCAACTGAAAAACAAAATCCAAAGCCTTTGCTCTGGTCCACAGACATTCCTATTCTGGCTCCCGACCCAGCTTCATTTCTTACACGCTCTCCCTCATTCACTCGGCTCCAGCCATGCTGGTTTCCTTACTCTTCCATGAACTTGGCAGGCACAAAACTTGCCTCAGGGACTTTCCACCTCACATTTCATCTGCCGAGAAGGCTCTTCCCCCACACATTCACATGGCTTGTTTACATATGTCTTTCAAACTTCTTCTTGAATGTCACTCATCAGAGAGACTTCCTAATTACACTGTTTCATTTTCCGTCTTGGAACATGTCACCAACGGGCATACGTGTTTAATGAGTTCAGGAACTTTTTTTTGCTCACTGCTGCATCCCCAGCATCTAGAATAATACTTGACATGTATTAGGCACTGATATATTTGTTGAATAAATGAATCTCGTGTTTCTTCTATACTCCATTAGTACAGAGAATCAAACATAAGCAAGTGGTTGGTAAATATTTATCAAAATAGAGTATAAATGGCATAATCTACAACCATAAGCTGGATTCTATCAGCTCCTTAAAGCAGAGCCCTTATATCTGGCAGTCATCCAGCAAAGGTTTGCATTGCTAAAATGAATACTGTATACTCCATTGAGCTAGTCTAAGGATGAAATGACAAAACCTTTGTGAAAGCACTCAGGTCCTGTATTTTGGCAAATATCAAGTACTCAATTTTGAAATGAGTAAACAGACTCCAAGGGCACCCAGGAGCCCACAGGCGTGCCTCTGTCTCAGGATGGATTGTACCATGAGATAGAAATGTCCAGATGAAGCAGCTCTGGTGACATAATTCTGAAGAAGGGGAAGTACTATTATTTTGAATTTAACTCTCCCTGTGGGCAGAGAGGCTAGAGACAAGCACACAAATCGTTGACTAATCTTGTTTCAAATTCATGGCCTTGGCCTTATGAGGGGCCCCCGTGCTTCCCAGCAATGCTATTACTGTTCCCTGGTTTGTTCACTGTCCTGCTTTCCTGGATGAGTATTTCATCCCTTCTTTCCCTCTTCCTTCCTCCAGTACCACTTCCCTCCTCCTTTTGGATGATGACCATGTTACCTATTTTGCTTGCAAAACAGAAGCAATGAGGGGCACCTGGATGGTTCAGTTGGTTAAGTGTCCGATTCTTGATTCTGGCCCAGGTCATGATCTCGCAGTTCAGGAGATCTACAGCTACGATGGTCTCTTGCTCAGATAGGCTCAGCTCCCTTCTCGCCCACAGCCAGTGGAAGCTCCCTCATCTCATATCTCTTGGCTCTTTTGCCACTTTCAGAGAGGATTTTCCTGACCACTCTGTGCACAACTGTATTTCTCCATTCCCACCCCAGCCCTCACTACCCCTTTGCCTGTCTTTTCTCTACAGCACTTATGGCCACTTAGCATACAAGTTTGTTTATTAGTCTATCGGTGCACTAGAACGTAAACCCCATGAGCTTTCACCTGTTCTCTTCTCTACAACTTCCCTAGCACCAATAAATACTTGTTGAATGAGTTTTGATGACTTTTCTTCCTCTTTCTGATCTCAAGACCCATTTCTCCAAAAGCCTAGGGAATGTGCTTGGTAAGAGGAGGACCTGAAAGTGTTGATAGACTCTAAGGGATGGCACCTTAGTGCTTCTATGAATCTCTGACATTCTGATTTGTCTTTTCCAGCTTAATACCAAAACATCCCCAGCAACCAACCAGGCACCTGGCCCAGAGGAAAAGGGTGAGTGGGCTTGGACTAGGCAATCGGTAGAGCGGGTAAATACATGGACATGAAGACAGGTAGGGCTCTAAGTCTGGAAGCTCCCAGAGTCAGATGTAATCGGAATAGGAATGTGGATAAGTGAAACCAAGCACTAGATTAGAATTCCTTCCACTTTTCTTCAGAAGTAAACCTCCCAGCATTTACTCTTTGATTTTAGACACTGGCTCTGGAATGCTGGGAAACAGGCACTGTGATAGGAAGAAAGTCACCAGGTAACCCAGCCACTGTCTCAATCAGAAATTGAGGGCAAGCTGAGGAAAGTGAGTACGTTCTGGATATGAATTGCAGGACTTAGGAATAAAGTGGTGACAGAAGACATTTGCCATCTTGGTCTAAGCGTAGCAAAGCTCCTAAGTAATTTGAGATCGCTCTCAGCCTCGGTTCCCCGACTCAAGCTATCAGGCATCCTCAGGCCTGGCAAAGATTGGAGAACCCCGCAGAGCCCAGCAGGAAGCAGACCCTAACCACTGCATCTGGGGCCTGGAGAAAGGGGCAGGGGCCATGCAGGTTTTCTCATTAATGAATCTCTCCACTCTCTGCAGGGAAAGCTGGCAGTGCCAAGAAGGCTGAGGAGGAGGAAGAGATTGATATCGATCTGACAGCACCGGAAACAGAGAAGGCTGCCCTTGCTATTCAGGGCAAGTTCCGGAGATTCCAGAAAAGGAAAAAGGATCCTAGCTCCTGAAGTACCAGTCTTGCCCTTCACACTCTCCCTTCTCCCCTCTTCTCCGCAGTTCTAACTCCTATGTATCTTTGTCTCTTTGCCCCTCTAGCCTCTTGTTGAGACAAATTCCACCCTTATATACTATTTTCTCTGATATCCCCCTCAAGCCATTGCAGCAGTGGAGACACAAGGAACATGGGGAAGATGAAGAATTCAGTTGGCAGCCACTTGCTAAAGATGGACCGGCTTCTCCTTGGGATAAGCCTCCTTCGCCAGCACCCAGGCCTGGCCTATGAGGTTGAGGAGCCAGAGGCTTTGAGGCTGAGAGAGGGGCCCCTGCCAGTGTGGGAGGAAGGGGGAAGCCTTCAGAGCAGGGCGCCCGAGGGTGAGCTTCAGCACTGTTCCGCCGGCTACAACATTCACACTTCCGGTACCATGTCTTGCCCCTCACACCCTTCTGCAGCACCACATCCACCTTCCCTCCTAGGAGCCAAGTGACCGTGGGGACTGGGCCCCCTCCCTCTAGGCGGACCCAAATCAAGCACCTTCCACGTTAGTGCATGCTGAGTAGAGGAGTTTCCAGGAAGGGCTCCTTCATCATCCAGTCTAGGACGCTAAGGGGCAGAGGCAGAACAGGTTCAGAGGGTCAAGGGCAGGGAGATGGGACTAGAGAAGATTTGGAGAGGAAAGAAAAGTAAGGGAGGGGGGCTTTCCGGAGACTCAGCTACTGCTGGCAGACATGGACCAGATGAAGGATTTCTGGGACTTTGCCAACCTGCCTCCCTCTAACCCTCCAAATCTGGCTGTCCCTAAAGGCCACCAAACCAAGTGACCCCTGGATTCCCCACATCCCCACTGTGGAGTCAGAGCAGAAGTGAAATAGCCCCTCTTGTGATTTTAGCATGTATAATAATGATTAAAAAAAACAACAACCCTCAAGTGGAGTCATTCAACCTCTACTTCTGTCTTTTCTTGGAGGGAATGTATGAGCCCCAGCTGGCCTCAGGCGGGGGTCGGGGAGAAAGTGCGAGAATTTCACGGTGGCGCAGGAGGTGGCGCAGGAAGTCAGCGCTGCCTGAGACTTCCTCCACCTGACCTTGCCCTCACCTTGAATCGCCTCCCACACTGTCTCTTTCTCTGCTGCTGTCACCACCCCCGTGTACACCTGCAAGGGTGCTCGCCTCCCTCCCTGTCGCCTTCCTCCCGCCTTCCTCCCAAGAGCACACTTGGGATCTGTCCCTTGGAAAACAAACCCAGCCTTCCTGGCGGCCTGTCCCCAAGCGACCTACGCTCGCTGTCCCTCCCACATCCCCCCTCCTTCCCACTGTTTCTCTGACCTGGGGGCAGGAGAAGTTGGCTCTGGGTCAGGAGAGCACACCGCTGTCATGCCGGAGGTTTTAAACCATGAATTAAATAAAGTGATGGTGTTCAAGGGAGCTTGCACTGCTGAGAACTAATCTCTACACGTTGAAACCGGAAGCTGTGCGCTTGAAGATCAAGCCAGGAAAGCTCGATCTCACAAACTCTCTTCACTTCTTAGTGTTCACCTTTCTTGATTCAAGAATACGGGAGGGGCGCCTGGGTGGCTCAGTCGGTTAAGCGTCAGACTTTGGCGCAAGTCATGATGTCGCGGTTCGTGGGTTCAGGCCCCGCACTGGGCTCTGTGCTGACAGCTCAGAGCCTGGAGCCTGTTTCGGATTCTGTGTCTCCCTCTCTCTCTGACCCTCCCCTGTTCATGCTGTCTCTCTCTCTCTCTCAGAAATAAATAAAACATTAAAAATTTTTAAAAAAATACAGGAGGGGCGCCTGGGTGGCTCAGTCGGTTAAGTGTCCAACTTCGGCTCAGGTCATGATTTCACGGTTCATGGGTTCGAGCCCCGCGTCGGGCTCTGTGCTGACAGCTGGGAGCCTGGAGCCTGCTTCCGATTCTGTGTCTCCCTCTCTCTCTGACCCTCCCCTGCTCACGCTGCCTCTCTCTTTCTCAGAAATAAATAAAACATTTAAAAAAATTAAAAAAAAAAATACGGGAGCCCGTGGCGCATGTAGGTGGATCAATTGGTGAAGCGTCCAACTTTGGCTCAGGTCACAATCTCACCGTTTGTGAGTTCAAGCCCCGCTGGTGCTGCAGAGCCTACTTGGGATTCTCTCTCTCTCTCTGCCCCTCCCCCATTTGTGTGCACGCTCTCTCTCTCTCAAAATAAATAAATAAACTGAAACCAAAATGTCTTAACAGAAGAGACAGCCAGAAACAGACACGGAGGAAAGCAACTCTCGCTCCCGCACGTGCCTCTTTCAGCGCTGGTACAGCCGGGAGGTAGCCCTGGCCAAAGTGCCAGAGGTTTGGAGATCTGAGCAGGAGAGACTTAGGAGCATGTGCCCAAACCCCAGGCTCAAAGGCAAAAGTTTTGGGAGAAATTCCAGCAGCGAGAGGGACAAGGAACCTGATTCCTGCCACAAGCTGCTGTCAGGGACTGGGTGTCCCTGCTGGGTGGGACTCCTGACCTCCCTGACCTGGCCCTGAGATGGAGGCAGCTTTCCCACTGTCGTCTCTTAACTCGTTCTGCCCCAGAGGTCTTTTGCGGGAGCGGCCCTTCCTGCTCACGTCTGCCTCTCTTTCTGCCCCTCTTGCTTTTGCTGCCTTTCCTTTATTTCTGGGGTTGTTTGGGGGGGGGGCAGTGGCTCCTGGCAGCGTCTTTTTCCCTGCCATCCGGGTCCCGAGGCCCTGAAGCCTGAGGGCGGGGGGGTCAGCGGGTTCCTTTCTTTTCTGGTCATTTGGGAAGCGGCTCTGACTCCAGATCTTCAAAGGCAGAGACCCACAGCCGACAGGTCTCAGAAAGTAAGCCTTTCACCCCCACCCCCAGGCTGCAGGAAACCCTCATTCCCTCCCCGGCTCCCCTCCTCCAGCCTTGGCGTTCACAACCCTCCCTCTCCCTCCCTGCTTTCCGTTTTCCCCTTGGTGTGAGGTGATGATCGTGATCTTGATGACTGGCTTCTCTTACCCCGCAGTCACCTAGATCTTGGCAAGTGGAACACGGGAGACTTGTCTGCTTCCATAGCTGTGAGCGTTCTCACTTGTGCATAATGCTGTCAGCTTTGGCTTCATCAGAGTTAGGGGCCTCAGGGATGCTGGGCCCCCACGGGGTCGGGGGTGGGGCGGGAACTCACTAGCCTTATGCCCCCTGAAGGGCATGGATGGTGATGACAATAAAAATTATCTACGATTTGTAAAATACTCTGTCTAGACACTGTTCAAAGCACTTTTACATATATTTATTTATTTATATAAAGTTTGTTTATTTATTTTGACAGAGTGAGCAAGCATGTGGGGGGGGAGGGGCAGAGAAGGAGAGAGAGAGAATCCCAAGCAGGCTCCATGCTGTGAGCACAGAGCCCTACACAGGGCTCAATCTCAAGAACCGTAGATCATGACCTGAGCCGAAATCAAGAGTCAGACACTTGGGGTGCCTGGGTGGCTCAGTCTTTGGCGCCTGGGTCTGACTTTGGCTCAGGGCATGATCTCTCAGTTTGTGAGTTCGAGCCCTGCATCATCGGGCTCTGTGCTGACAGCTCAGAGTCTGGAGCCTGCTTCGGATTCTGTGTCTCCCTTGTTCTCTGCCCCTCCCCCACTCGTGCTCTGTCTCTCTCTCTCTCTCTCTCTCAAAAATAAATATTAGAAGAAAAAAAGAGTTGGATGCTTAACTGACTGAGCCATCTAGGCGCCCCAACACTTGTACGTATATTAACTGATTTAATTCTTGGAACCCTGTGACACAGATACTATTATTATCCCATTTGACAGATGAAGAAACGGAGGCACAGACAGCTCAACACCTTCCCCAAGCGAAGTGAGCGGTTGCACCAGGACCAGGACTCAGGCGGTCATGTTCCAGAATCTGCGCCTCCTACCACCTCAGAGGGACTGGACTAACGAAGGCGGACAGCTTGGGAGGCAGGGATGTGGTTCAGTCAAGTTTGAGGGCAGAACGTCCCTGAGCTGCGCTTGGGCATAGCTGCTCGGTCCCCTGTGGTCCGCACGGGGAAGATCTGGACCCTGTCCCGGGCCCAGCCTTCCAGGAAAGGACCAGACCCAGCTTTCCCCGCTGCTCTGCCAGACTTGTTCCAGAATTCTGTCAGTGCCCGGTCTCCTCCCTCTGCCTCCCCTCTGGCTCCAGGAAATGTGTCGCCAGCCTGAGGCCAAATGGGTAGAGAGATGGGCCTCAGAGCTTGGGAGCGAGGGCCGGTATGTGGGCCTTGAACAGAGGGAGGGCCAACGGGCTCACGTTAGGTATAAGGGCGAATAGGTGTGGGCATCACGAAGGGAACCAAACTCTTCCCGGCCTCCTGGGAGGGCGCCGGGTCCCCTAGGCCACTTCTCAGCAGGGGGACGCACTGCCCTCTAGAGGATGTTTTGGAAATCGGTGAGGGTAATTTGTAGGGTTTTTTAACACGTTGGGGGCTTGGGTGGGCCCGGAGGCGGTATGATTTATTATTTCCCGGTATTACTTAGGGTCTTGGGGGGAGGTGCTACACATACTGCAATGACCGGGACAGGACTGCCTGTCCCAAAATGCGCCACAGCCCGCGTGTCTCGGCAAAGTCCCACTGGACACCAACGTCCCCGGAAGAACCGATTCTTATCTGCACGAGCCCAGACCCCCGCTTCGTTTTACAAGTGAACACAAAGTCTTTTTTTGAACCACTGATTAAATACCAAATTTCCCAGACATGCAGTGAATGTGTAGATTGAAGGAACTTATAATTCGTTTTGTTCAGGGCTTTCCCAAGAGCTGCTCACCGTTCAGAAATCCGTGTCCTCCAGCCACGCTGCTTAATGAATGGTATCTGAGTTACTGATACCTATGCGTTTGGTCTTTTGCCCTTTTGTTCACAGTGATTCTATATTAAGTCCATGGCTCTGACTACTAGATTAGATGTGTAGCCATGACTGATACTACATACTGAAATACTTTCTATTTTATTACAAATTAATCTTTTATTTCACCTTTATCGTATTAGAGTACTAGACTTACGTTTTGAAATGTGGTATATAGTTTATATTGCATATGAATATTGTTCAGGAGAGTGAAAGGGGCGCTGGACTGAAAGGGGTGGAAACTACTGCCCAAAGCCTTTGGAAAGCCAGGCCCAGCACTAGCCTGAAGGCTTGGGAATCTGTCTTTCGCCTGCCTCCACCCCTCTTCTCTCTAAAAGAGACCCACCCCAAACATTACGGCCAAGCTGCAAGTCTTTACAATGGGCTGGCCCCTCAGAGAGGGACCGCAAGGTAAATAGGGAGGGCTCAGCCAGAGCCACACTTAATGCCTAGAAAGGAAAGCTTCTGCAAGACAAAAAGATCATGTCTGTATTGTGATGGGGTCTGTATCGTGAAGCAGACAGTGACAGATTGGTATCCAGACCAGTGGACAGTGAGTTAGGTGTGCTGGGGGAGAGGTTCCCCCACTTCCTTCAACTGAAAAGAGGAAGAAAAGAGAGGGAGGCACAGATGATGAGGCACTGGCGTGGATAGGACTTCGACTCCGTGCTAAGCTCCTAGTGATGTGGTTTACCCATATTCTCAATGTCTTCTTTGAAATTCACCATAGGTTAGGGATTCACTTAACAAAAACTCCAGGTTCTGAAGTCAGGTCGTTTGTCCTAGATCACGGAGAGCCACAGCCCCAATTTAAACCAGGTCTGGTTTGATGCCTGTTTTAGGTCTTGCCAAAAGCAGGGGTGAGTTCCTTCTCCAGACCATTCCTAACTTGTGGTTCTCTTAGAAAAAGCAAAGATACGTAAGTGAATCAGCATCTGTTGAATCGTGATTTTACCCTAAAGCAATACTAAACAATGTTCACACGCTAGACTCAACCCTCTTTTAATGAGGTGACTTTGTCTCTGTCTCTCGCTCTGTGTGTGTGTGTGTGTGTGTGCGTGTGATTCACAAA